TGGGAATACTGGAGAGATTCGGGCACTGGGAATACTGGAAGGACTCGGGCACTGGGAATACTGGAGAGACTCAGGGGTATTTGGAATATTGGACAAGGGGCACTGGGAATACTGGAGAGATTTTGGGGTAATGGGAAATATTGGAGAGACTCAGGGGACACTGGGAATACTGGACAAGGGACACTGGGAATACTGGAGAGATTTTGGGGTAATGGGAAAACTGGAGAGATTTTGGAGTAATGGGAATACTGGAGAGATTTTGGGGTAATGGGAATACTGGAGAGACTCAGGGGAACTGGGAATACTGGAGAGATTTTGGGGTAATGGGGATACTGAAGAGACTCAGGGGACACTGGGAATACTGGACAAGGGGCACTGGGAATACTGGAGAGACTCAGGGACACTGAGAATACTGGAGAGATTTTGGGGTAATGGTGATACTGGAGAAACTCGGGCACTGGGAGTAGTGGAGAGATTCAGGAGTAGTGGGAATACTGGAGAAACTCAGGAGACACTGGGAATACTGGACAAGGGACACTGGGGATACTGGAGAGATTTTGGGGTAATGGGAATACTGGAGAGACTCGGGCACTGGAAATACTGGAGAGAATTTGGGGTAATGGGAATACTGGAGAGATTTTGGGGTAATGGTGATACTGGAGAAACTCGGGCACTGGGGAATACTGGAGAGACTCAGGGGACACTGGGAATACTGGACAAGGGACACTGGGAATACTGGAGAGATTTTGGGGTAATGGGAAAACTGGAGAGGCTCGGGGGCACTGGGAACACTGGAGAGATTTTGGGGTAATGGGAATACTGGAGAGATTCAGGGGTGTTGGGAATACTGGAGAGATTTTGGGGTAATGGGAAATACTGGAGAGATTTTGGGGTAATGGGAATACTGGAGAGACTTGGGGGCACTGGGAATTCTGACAAGGGGCACTGGGATTACTGGACAAGGGACACTGGGAATACTGGAGAGACTCGGGACACTGGGAATACTGGACAAGGGGGCAGCAGTGGACACTGGGAGGGTACTGGGGGCACTGGTGGCACTGGGAGGGCCACCCAGGTGAGTGTCCCCGTGGCCTGAACTGGCCACCAACTGGTCACAGTGGTCACACCCTGGGGGGGCACTGGGAGTCCCAGGGGTTACTGGTGGGGACTGGGGAGGCTGGAAGGCACTGGGGGCTGAGCTTTGGGGRTGTCCCAGGGGTGCCATTCACCCCATCCCAAAAATCCCTGAATTTGGGCTCGTGGGAGGTGGTGGGAAGGGGCCAAAGGGCAGCACTTGCCCTGGGGTCGGACTTTTGGCCTTGGGATCGACATTCCGGCCACAGGATCAACATTCCAGCCTTGGGATCGACATTCCAGCTTTGGGATCAACATTCCAGCCTTGGGATCGACATTCCGGCTTTGGGATCAGCATTCCAGCCACGGGATTGACATTCCAGCCTTGGGATCGAAATTCTGGACTTGGGATCAACATTCCAACCTTGGGATCGACATTTCAGCCTTGGGATCAAAATTCTAGACTTGGGTTCAGCATTCCAACCTTGGGATTGACATTCCAGCCATGGGTTCAACATTTCAGCTATGGGGTCAACATTCTGGCCTTGGGATTCACATTCCGGCCTTGGAATTGACATTCCAGCCTTGGGATTGACATTTCAGCCTTGGGATCGAAATTCTGGACTTGGGATTGACATTCTGGCCTTGGGATTGACATTCCATCCTTAGGATGGACATTCCAACCTTTTGATCAACATTCCAGCCTTGGGATTGTCATTCCAGCCACGGGATCAACATTTCAGCCACAGGATCAACATTCTGGCTTTGGGATCGACATTTCATCCTTGGGATCAACATTTCATCCTCGGGATCGACATTCCATCCTTGGGATTGACATTTCAGCCACGGGATCAACATTCTGGCCTTGGGATCGACATTCCAGCCTTGGGATCGAAATTCTGGACTTGGGATCAACATTGAAACCTTGGGATTGACATTCCATCCTTAGGATGGACATTCCAGCCTTGGGATCAACATTTCAGTCTTGGGATCAACATTCCAGCCTTGGGATTGACACTCCAGCCTTGGGATTGACATTCCATCCTTGGGATGGACATTTCAGCCACGGGATTGACGTTCCAGCCATGGGATCGACATTCCAGCCTTGGGATTGACATTCCATCTTTAGGATGGATATTCCAACCTTGGGATCAACATTGAAGCCTTGGGATTGACATTCCATCTATGGGATTGTCATTCCGGCCTTGGGATTGACATTCCGGCCTTGGGATTGACATTCCAGCCTTGGGATCAACATTCGGGCCTTGGGATCAACATTCCAACCTTGGGATCGACATTTCAGACTTGGGATTGACATTCCAGCCTTGGGATCAACATTCCAGCCTTGGGATC